TTCAGCTTTTCACCAACACCGTTTAAGTGTTTCGTGGCAGGAACTCTTAATGAGCTACAGGGTTTTGCAGCTGAAGCTGAGTCAGGAAGCCTCTCTTAGATGAGAGCGCTTGCTTGCCTCTAGCAAGCGGAGCAGACCCAAGAAATTTCTGCTACCAAGAAAACATGCTTCACTCCATTCTTTCCCAAGCTTTCTCAGGCTTTTTGTGGATTCAGTTAGCCTCACGTTAGGCAGCCATCTGTTGAAATAGGAGCGGTGGGGCTGCGTCCCCAACACCCCGGCCGCTTGGCTAGCTCATGCCCGAAATAACAACACACAAACTGTATTCATTTAAGAACTGCTTGGCCCATGAACTCTAGCCCTTACAGGCTAATTCTCGCACCTGGACTAGCCCATTTCTAATGATGTGTGTAAGCACCCCAAGGTGCGCTTACCGGGAAGAGTCTAGCCTCTGTCCATCCTGGTGTCTCTGCTCCAGAGAGCAGCTGTTGGGTCTCTCCGGGAGCAGAGCAGAGTCTGACCTCACTTCCTCTTCCGCCCAGCATCCTATTCTGTTTATTCCACCCACCTATGTTCTAAGCTATGAGGCCAAGCAGTGTGTTTATTACTTAACCAATGAAATCAACAGATTGATATATGACACTCCCACATCACTCTTCATTCCTCTGCTTCAGTTTCACAGCACCCTTATAATATGAGTAGCCTATTCCGTGTCTCAGGGATCCTGCGTTCTTTCTATCTTAAGTCCCATGGTCCCTTCTGGGATAATCCCCTGGGTTTTAATGATCCTCTCCTGCTTTCTCTGCCATGGTTTGGGGGACTTCTATTACTTGGGTATTTGGCCTCCTAGCTGCACCTTCTTCTCCCTGATTCTTACTGTTGTTTTCCCTTGGCTTGGTTTGATTTGACATTTTGTTTGACCCTATGGGAGATTTCTTTACCTCAGTGTCTCATCCCTTGTTTGAGTCTTCTTTTCTCCCATAAGGCTTTTTCTTTACCAATGATGTGCTTTCTGAGAGCATTTTTTTGTAGGACTGCAATACATTCTCTTAATTCAGACTGTTTGTGTCTGGTGGTGTTAACATCTTGAGTATGCTCCCAGTCTGGAACACTAAATGGGCTTTCTGTAAGTGCCTTGAAGGTCCTTGGTTTGTTTACATTTGGGAGGAGGACTTTGAATACATACATGAGTCAACCTCCCCATAACTGATCACAGGTCTCCAACATGTGTCATCCTGCCTCTGCTCTTGGGTTGACAGCTCCTTCTGAGTCCTCCTCCTGGACCAAAGCTTAGCTACTAGCAATCTGGGACCGAAGTAAGAGAAGATGCCTGTGGTCCCAGCGTCCTTCATGCCCACATTTACCTAGCCCTATCCACCTGCCATTCTCTCCTCTCCCCCCACGTTCTTCTAGTGCGCCCTTCCTGTTCTCTCTAGAAAGTAAGCTACAGCTATTCTCCAGGGTCTGTGGAAGATGAACAGAAAGTGCAGATATACAAGGTAGGGAAGCCTACCCATCGATCTAACCACTGTCTGATGCTTAGCCAGGCTAGCTGAAGTTCAGTAAGCCCCATTCTAGAAACTTTTACAACCTACTAAAGGGAACTAAAAAGCAGGCCTCGCCATTGTCTGCTGCCCACCGGATGTGAGTCTGCGCCATCGTTTGCCGCCTTTGTCCGTTTGTATACAGCTTCCTGTGTGTTGTAGCTATTCTGTCTTGCTTTCTTCATTCTTTTTATTTCTGCCTTAAATAAATAAAACCATTATCTGCATAAAGTAGGGCCTGCATATCTGCCATCCTAGCATCTACACATCTACATCCTGAATTCGATGCCAGCTTGTGCTGCAGGGTATTCTCTGTCAAAAACAATAGTGTTTAATGTCCTAGGCATGGGGCACGCAGGGGCAGTCTCCATTTTCACCTGGGGGCTTCTGTGTGGCTTCTCCTTTGCTAATGCCAAGGCTCTCTCCAGCTCAGGCTGGTCTGAACGCAGTGTGAAGCCAAGCTGGAATTTCTGATCTCCCTGCCTCTCCCTCCTGAGTGCTGATACTGCAGGTGTCTGCATGTGAGGCAGGTGCTCTCAACAGCTGATGTACAGCCCTAGCTCCCAGGTCTGGATTCTGTCTTAAAGCAAAGCCCCAGTGGTCACGGTGAATTCTCAAGAAAACTGCAGGTGGTGACTAGCCCTCGCCCTTGGATTGAGATTTGGGATTTTTTTTTTTAATCAAAACTTTTCAAAATCAATCATATCAGGGGCTGGAGCGATGATTCATGCTTGAGAACACATGTTGCTCTTGCTGAGGACCTGGGTTTGATTCCCAGCACACACACACACACACACAGTGGCTCTCAACCGTCTGTAACTCCAGTTCCAAAGGATTTGCTACCTTCCTCTGCCCTCTGTTGACACTAGATACACACACACACACACACACATACACACACACACACAAATAAATATGTCTTAAAAATTGTGTGGAATGTATATTGGCAGAAGTTTTTGTCCCGCCAGCAGTTCCCAAATAAACACCCAGAGAATTAATATTAATTATAAACACTTAGTCAATAGCTCAGATTTGTTGGTAGCCGACTTTTGCATTTTCAGTTATCTCATATTTTTATCTACACTTTACCACATGGCTTGGTACCTTTTCTCAGGATGGCATGTTCAACTTGCGTCTCTCTCTCTATTCTTCAGACTCTGCCCCGCCCCCAGTATTATCAGTTTGGCTCTCTCGCCTAACCTTATTCTGTTCAGTTATTAGCCAGTCAGCTTCTTTATTAAACCAATCACAGTGACATATATTCACACAGTATAAAAGAATATTCTACGTGTGTGTTGGGCGGGGGAGGGTCCCTACTCCTGAGAGAAAGTCTCATGTATTCCAGGCTGTTTTCAAACTTGTTAAGCTTGAATGTAGCCAGTGATTACTTGCTACCATGCCTGACTCTGAACCAACAGAGCAAGATGCTTCTGTAAGAATGCCATGCTAGGGCTGGAGAGATGGCTCAGCGATTAAGAGCACTGACTGCTCTTCCAAAGGTCCTGAGTTCAATTCCCAGCAACCACATGGTGACTCACAACCATCTGCAATGAGGTCTGGTGCCCTCTTCTGGCCTGAAGACATATACACAGACAGAATATTGTATATACAATAAATAAATATTAAAAAAAAAAGAATGCCATGCTAGTTCTGATGATGCATTCACATTTCAGAAACAGGAAGTTTACTTCCTCATCTTTGAGAGAGGCCTAGGATTGTAAATTATCAATCATTTATTTGAGAAAAGCCTGCTCGAATGTCTGGACCAAGTAGAGAACACATCCTGAGCTGGGGTGGGAGCCCTTGGTGTCGTGAGCTCTCTACTTCACCTTTGCATGTGCTCAGGGATGAGGGTGAGCATCTAAATAGTTAGAAGCATGAAAAAGAGACCCACATTTCCACAAGCTAATTGGTTGTAAAGTCAGGACTGAAACCTATGTACTTCCCTTCCATAATTTCATGTTTCCTACTGTCTCCATCTTAGGGGGACTTTAATTGAATTTAGACAGAATAGTTGGATTATAGCACAGAATGATCATTCCTCATTTATTGATTTGTTCATCAAATTCGTTCATATCAGCTACGTTTCCTTTTTCATGCCAGGCACGGAGGAAGAAAAGGATGTGTTCTTGTGTCTATAGCAGCCTGAGGCCACCCCTCCATGTTTGCAGCCAAGTGTCTGCCTTAGCACCACCCTTTAGAATTAGCCTTGCTTATGGCTTTAAACCAACCTCTGGAGGAGACCAGACCTCTTGACTGCCTTCAAACCAGCATCTCTCATACTTTCTCTGAGGCCTGTAGTCTTGCCCCTCCAGGTGGCATGGCTTCCCTCCAGGATGCGCTGTTCCCAGTTTTTCCCACAGGCTCTGCAAGTGTGGAATTGAGTGAGGTCCACAGCCACACAGTGCCTCATGTTGATTGCTTTCTGTTCATAGGATGGATGAGCTGGCATTACTACGTGACCATGCCAATGCCAGCCTCCACCTTCACAATTGCAGTGGGATCCTGGATAGAAGTGAAGCCTAAGACATCCCCATCAGATGAGCTGGTGATAGAGCACCCTCTCCTGCCTGCAAAAGCTGACTTCAGGTTTGTGTTTGGGAGTTTGCTGACTTTACTCTGGGAATGTGAGAAACTGAGCCAGAACGGAGCTAATCAAAGCAGGGAAAGGTCTACTGGAAAAGGGAGTTGGCCTTGTAATTCATGAAGAAAGCAAGTGGCTGTGAAGCCCTCTATGATATCAGCAGAAGCATTTCTATTATGCTCATTCAAATTAAAAAACTGCAAGTTCAACATTTTCCTTCCTACCCTTTAGATGTCTTAGTGGTTGATCGGAAATGTCTTAATAAAGCAAAGGTGTGCAGTGAAAGGAAGATTACAATGAAAAAAGGATGCAGTGGAAGGAAGGTGTGCAGTGGAGAGAAGGAAGGTGTGCAGTGGAAGGAAGGAGTGCAGTGGAGGGAAGGTGTGCAGTGGAAGGAAGGTGTGCAGGGAAGGAAGGATGCAGTGGAAGGAAGGTGTGCAGTGGAGGGAAGGTGTGCAGTGGAGGGAAGGTGTGCAGTGGAGGGAAGGTGTGTGCAGTGGAGGGAAGGTGTGTGCAGGGAAGGAAGGTGTGCAGGGAAGGAAGGTGTGCAGTGGAAGGAAGGTGTGCAGTGGAAGGAAGGTGTGCAGGGAGGGAAGGAGTGCAGTGGAAGGAAGGTGTGCAGTGGAAGGAAGGTGTGCAGGGAGGGAAGGTGTGCAGGG